AGAGCCTTCAGTTTTCAGGCCCCTCTTCTGTGGAACCAGCTTCCAGTTTGGATTCAGGAGACAGACACTATCTCTACTTTTAGGATTAGGCTTCAAACTTTCCTTTTTGCTAAAGCATATAGTTAGGGCTGGACCAGGTGACCCTGAATGATATTATTCATCTCTGGCTCTCTTCTATAGTGAGTCTTTGTCCAGTCTTCCTCCCCTGACCCTTAGACGGCCACAGTAGATGGTCACTCCTCCCTCTTCTGGTTCTGCTGGACGCTTATAGTTTGTCAATAATTGACTTGCTTGATCAGAATCTGACAGTATTGTTCATAACTTCATCAAGTTTGACAAGGTCCTCAAAACTACTCACAGCCCGACACCATGACACGGCCTAAAGCTGACAGATAGCTGTATCACTGTTGTACCTCTCTCAAGAACGCTTCTGACATATTGATAAAGATTAAAATTTTTCACTCCATCAGACCTGTTGACACTGATTTAGAGCTGTTCCTGTGTAATTTGACACATCCTAGCCTTTTTCATCCCATTTATCTTCATTAAGAGAGGCTTTGACAGTCACCCTTCCACTGAGATTACATCTGATCAGGCTTCTGATGCAGCTCTCAGGCTCTGTGTCTATTTTCTGCCTGAATGTTTAACAGGTCACTGTGAAGTGACTTAAGCAACTAAATAACCAAACAAACAAAAAGCTAATTTCTCTAAAACCTTCGGGGGCAAGAACTAGACTGACTGAGTGAAAAGGCAGCAAACGTCCAAAGAAAACGTTGAAAGCCCTTCAGAGAGCTGAGAAATATTGCTCAGGGTCACTTTAGAAATCAGAAGATGTTGTTCAGTTCGGTAGGTTCTTTGGAAAGTCTTTTGTAAAATTATGGTTAAACATGTGACCTACAGTCTGACGTGCTGTGGTCAGTAAAAATAGAATCATGCTATATAAATGCAAATAATCCAGAATAAAAACAATCTCACTGTGTTTTTTTTAGCTTTTATTACCACATCACACAAAGAAGTAATTGAAAGAACAATCTGTTAAACATAACTGTGACATTTACATCATCAAGCGACACAGAGTTTAATTCATTCATAAAAAACATCAGTGACAATATGTAAAGATAACATAAAATCAAACTTTTTGGATCAATCAACAATGTATTAAAGGATAACTTCTATAGAGAGTTATTAACAGATGGTATGATAAACAGGTAATATGATATTTATACATGATATACACGCTGAAGCTCAGTGAACTTCAAGTTTCATCCAGTCACACAGAAAGTTGTCCTCTTGGGATTTCTGTGAAGTTTCTGAAAGACAAAACATAAAAAAGAAATTTGATTCATGTGAACTGAACCTGCTTTAATACAAACAGTAAAAACAAACTTCACATGCTGCTGGTTTGAAACCTGATGTTTGCTATTGTCACAGTTTCTTTTCTATCCAGGAGACAAAGTAGATACAAGAAAAATGACACATTTACATATTATCTAAATATGAAAACTGACCAAAAATATTCCTGCTGTTTTAAAATAAAATGTAACTGTTGATTAAGACGTCAGGTTGCTCTCCTTTCTTTTACCTGGTCCTGTGAGAGAGTTTTCAGGAACCAACACCAACAGAATCATTTTCAAATGTAACAATTTCTGTTTTGTATGTAGAAGAAATAAAAGAACAGCTTTTCATACAGACAGAGCTTTAAAGAGTATCAAAGAGAAACCCATACACTGTTACTGAACCACGCGAGTCACAGGTGAGGACTCTGTAATAACCTCTGCTGCTTCCCACAGGGAATTTTAAACTCTGATAATCTCAAAGGCAAAACAAAAGATTTTATAAGATCACCCAACGTTAATGAGACAGAGTTTAGGAAGTTTGACATTCACCTTGGTTTTATCCACATCCCTGGATTAGACGATCAGGGAAAAAACAACTTTTCTATCTCGAGGTCGATGTATAAACGGGATCTTCGTGTGTCGTCTTGTATCATTTCCACTGAGGTAACACAGCTCCATGGACCGTATTTATCATGTTTTAGGATTTTTTTTGGTCAGTTAAAAATATTTCATCAAATTTTCAAGTTTAAATATTGGAAATTATTATTTTTTGCTTAAGAAGTCCAAACCGTTACCAAAATGATTTTATTGCCTCAACGTGACAGGATGTGGACTATGAACTCTGATCCAGAGCTTTGATATTCCAACAACTCACAATGGACATAAAGCAGATTTCCATTTCTAACATGCTCTAAGCTTGTATCACAGCTTGACTGATCCTGGGTTATTCTGCAGTCCTCAAATGTGGAAAATTGGCAAATGCAGGTAAAAGTTTCCCAAATGCAGGCTCCATATTAACTGTCAGTGGTCTGTGTACTAAAACTTTTTCTTCTCATTGGAAAATGAACAAAAAGGTTCAATAAAGCTCGAACATGTTTGTCTCTCTGTGTGTGATGGAGATAACAGTCAAACATCTCCCCAGTCACCAGGCCACAAACACGTTACATTTGTTTTGTACTCACACTGACTAATCCACAGCCGCAGAGTCATGATGATGTTAAAGATGATGGTCTTGATGAAGATCACTCTGAGAGCCAGGATGGTCAGAGACATGAGGTTCACCTTTGGATCTGCAAACAGCACAATCAGAAAAATGTCAGCCAACAAACACAAACAGCTTCTTTCAATCCACCTGTTTAATCAGATCTAATACATACCTGGCTCCAAAACATCAACACATTTGCTGTCACCACTGCCTGGATCTGAAGAAAATCAAACAGATAAAAGTGGTAATTAGCTTCATTCCAAAGTAAATCTTCCTTTAATGCAGATTTATGCAGTCTGACAATCAAATACAAATATGTAAGTTTAGGATTAAAGGGTTATGTACACACTATATATAATATATTCTTATGGAAAAGTAAATTATATGATGAAAATAATTCGTATGAATTTCTTGATACTTACATTCACAAATCCTTGCATCCTTCCCTGGAAAAATCACCTGGTTGTACAGATCCAAGTTTGGTGATATTGCCACAGCTTTTGTCGTATTGAATTCCACGCTATAATTCCAATGATGTGATGTTGCATTGTGTCTGCTGAACCCAGTTGCCAGGCACGCCGTATTGTTGCCTTTTCCCACTTTGAAATAGGATGGCTTGTACTCTGTCCCTGAAAAACACAAACGAACAACTCATGAACAAACTGGAATAACGTGGAATTATCTGCATTCGTCTCAAAACCTCTGATCACTTGTTGACCAAAGAAACGAGGTTTAATCCAAAGAGACGAGTTCACTCACAGACACACTGTGATTCAGACATGGTCAAAAACATCTGAGCTGCCAAGATCAAACTCATCAAAAGGATAATCAGAATGATGCTGCACTCTGTAAAACATGGTTTCTAAACTTAGTAAAACTCTGCTGATGGTGTTTGTAGAGTTTTCCATGTTATTAACACGAGAACACTTTCACTTAATGGCCTTTCCACTGGAAGTTTCTCATGTGGATTTGTCTTCATTTGGTCCACAGCAGGAATTTACTACTTCATCACAACACAATTACAACTTCAGGTAGCAGCTGTTGTGACTCACATAAGTGGACATATATATGTTGAAATTATTTATCTAATATTTTAAGTTAAATATATATTTTTTACCAGCGTTACAAAACATGTTACGTGACTCAGTCCTTCGTTTTAAAGTAACTTGTTTAAAGTACATTCATGGTGTTTGGTGCAGTAGTTTCATAAAAACAAGTTATTTGTCTGTGTTGTAGTATTTAGTATTAAATAAATATAAATCTGTTCACAAATACTGTACTCAATTAAATTATTAAATTGGAGCTTTTTAGTTATGAGCGCCTGCTTACTATGTATTTATACAAAAGTTTATTTAGTTTCAAAAATATTTCATACAGTGAAGTGAAATAATGGTCAGATATTACTTTATATCACATTAAGTGCAAAGTATTTCCTATTGAGATCATATATTTAACTCAGTTCTGAATTCAGGGAAATGGAAAACATTTAATAATTTCATTAATTTTTCAGGTTATGTAGACGATCCACTTACTTGAGGATGAAATTAGTGTGATTCCTGATCCAAATATGACTTTGTAATTATTGTTATTCACACTGCAGCTAAACCAGTTACAAAAACCAGTGCAGCTCTTAACCATGTATATGTAAATAATACTAGTTCAGTAAATGTCTGTCATATTGTTTTACTTTAGTGTAATATATCAGTAACATTACAAGCATGTTTGAGTTTTTGTTAATTGCTAACAGGATACAATTCTGATAATAAAAAGCAACCTAACATAAAGTTAATGATTCAGAGATTGTGTTTGCCTGTCAGGTGCACGTCAGGAAAAACAACTGAGACAATGTTTAAAATCATCTCGCTGACTCACTTTGTTTGACCCAAAATTTGGTTCCATCACCAAATATGAGTTTAGAGGCTTCAGATCGCTTCACACATTGTTGTGGTGTTGGACAATTACTGCTCTTCACCACATACAGTTTATTTGTTCTTTAAATATGAATCATGATTATAAGATCACTGTGTTTAATTTAGTGTAAGACTTTTGAAATGTGACAGAGGAAAAAGGTAAGAAATACAAGTTCAACATCAACACTGTCATGTGATGGGTGTGAAAACATTTGATTTAAAGAGTGTTTGGATCTAGTAAGTTGCTTCTGTACACATCAGAGTCACAACATTAAGTTAAAGTATAAACTAACGTGCGCTTAAACGTCTCACCAATTATAATAATAGTACGTTTAATTTCAGATGCTACACGGAGCTCGATCTGGATATTTTACTTGCTTCCTTTAAACAAGACGTCACCAACAGAGCATGTTTGGGACAGGCAACGATAACAAATGTTCATGTTTGAAACTTACTCTTTAGTGATGAATCAGGATTTACGTTTGTTTACTGAGTTCTAATATTTTAGGATGTTCAAAAATGCTGAACATGTGTGAACAGAAAAATAATTTACTGATGGAAACTAATTTACATTTAACAACCGCACTGATACGACCACCCTGAACACTGCAGACAGATTATACATAAACACACTTACGTGACTGTACAGTAACTCTGACCCCAGAAGCAAAAACCAGCTTGTTGTTATTACTGTTCACACAGTGAATCAGTGGCATTCAAAAACTCAAGCACTCCGTGTTTCACTCAGCTTCTGGTTCTTTTGCTAAATAAATAAACACATTTTTCTGTGTTATATAAAATGTTTCCCATCATTACAACCTAAATCAGAAATTCAGAAACAATAGTTTGGTTTACAGTTTGTGTTTTGCTGACCTGCAAGAGTTTGTTTGATTTAAGTGACATCATCTGTCCAAACAAAGACTGCTGCTCCTGTTGTTCCATCATCGCTCACTAAAATCACTCAGGTCCAATCAAATCCATTCAAGTTAAAAAGACTCAGTCTGGACTGTTTGGGAGTCAGAGCTGAAGTTTCCTCTTTTTCTCCACATCACTACTTTATTTTGTTGCTGTAGAAGCTTTTTTCTCAATAACACTTTTTCACTCACTTGTTTGAACTCTCAGACGACTTCCTGAACCAAAAATCAGTTTCCAATTATTACTCTTCACACTATGAACGATCCAGCAACAAAAACCTGCGATTCACACGCAGCAGCAGCAGCAGTGGAGCCCAACAGACAACAAACTGATATTAACTGAGTCACTGATCATGTGTTTACATTTTCCCTTTTCCCCATAATCTCTACAATTTGCTTTTGTTAATTATGTATTTAATTAATCTAATTGGGTAAAAGATCCTTTGAGGTTTCAGGAAAAGTATCCAGTGTTTAAAAGAAAGAAGGAAAAATCAGCCAAATGAAACTGTGAGTAAGGTGAAGCTGAACGAAGCTTAACTGAGGTTAAATAAATAACATTAAAAGTCTCGACCATGTGAGAAAATCCCAGCAGGTTGACTCTGTTCATCTGAGTTATATTTGTTTTCAAAGACTTATTTTTCATTACATTCACAGATTTGTGTGTGTGTGTGTGTGTGTGTGTGTGTGTGTGTGTGTGTGTGTGTGTGTGTGTGTGTGTGTGTGTGTGTGTGTGTGTGTGTGTCACTAAATGTGATAACAGAATTATCTTTAGAAAATTATAGGATGTTTTGCTCATGTCATTTAAATCTAACATTAAAAGAATGATAATATTTACATTTTTAAAGTTGCAGATGCTGATAACTTATCTTCTGTCAAACATGCTGATGATGTGAGATTGGTGAAGTCGTGATTATTTATAATTCTAACAGTGTGAGATTTACTAAACATCGAACGTTGATGTGCAGTTTTAATGAAGGGAAACTCTTACTCTGATGTATTTTCAGCTCAGTTCCTCGTCCAAAGATCAGCTTTCGTGTCCCATCATTCACACACTGACTTACTTCATCACAGAAACTGAACAGGTCAAAGTGTCGCCTGCTGTTTATGGATCGAGGACATTTAAGTGCAGACGTAGTCAGAACCAGTGTCTCTGGCCTGCTTAAACCTTAAAACCAAACATTAAGCTGCCATGTGAATGAAAAGCATTATTTAAGGACATTAGTTCACTCACTCGTACCTCGCACCCTTAAAGCTGCACTTTGTAACTGATTATATAAATATACAGTGTTTGGACTCTTAGAATGAACAATAACTATCAAATTAAAATCAAATTAATAACTAATAACTTCTAATAACGCCTCGTTTTCCTTCTTCTCTTGCAGTAAACACGACTCACTCACTGTCAGAGAGGATGAGTTTCATTCCAGATCCAAACTGTAGTTTTTCATCAGCTGATGAGAAGACTGATCAATAACTTATCTACACCTTACAGGACGTTTGTGTTCAGTGTCATTTTTCTCTCTGCATGTTTTTAGATAAATGATCTTATTTAAAAATGATTATTTACTAAAAATCATATTCCAAATGTAAAATGAGAAGTGTTCAGGGATGTTTGTTTGTTTCATAAACCTACTTTTCTCTATTTTCAGCTCGGTTCCGTCTCCAAACACGAGTTTTCCCGTCCCATCATTCACACAGTGAAACACTTCTTAACTTAAACTCAGTAATCAGCTGACATCTTCACAGTAACTAATAACATATATAATTACAAGAGTAATGATATTAACAGCTAAACACGTTGGATCAGTCGTGTATTTACCTCAAATTTAACCTAAAAGACTGAAACTCAGTGATCATAATCTTATTCATCAACTTTGGTTTGCAGATGAAGCCGATCGTTTCAAGATTATTTTGGGTTGTTGAAATATTAACTTGTAAAATCTCTTAAGAATACAATAAGTACAGATTACTCCGTGTTGTGCTGACAAACTGTGGCTCTGTAACAGACATATTAAAGTGTAATGATGTTCAAGAAGACGTCAGGACAAAAGAAAAACGGTTTCAAAGACAGAAAGGACCATTTAGTTCTGAGTCATGATTAATAAATGATAAATGGCTCACGAGTTTGAATAATCAGCCTGGTTCCACCTCCAAAGTGGAGTTTTCTGCCTCCAGAGTCAGTCACACTGCACGCTGCTGCAAACCAAAAACCTGAACTACAAAACTGCATTTAACTGCTGATAACTCAGTGAAGTGTTTCTTACATATAAACTCAAGTTTCATGCATTCAGTCATCAAATTATGAAATTTT